ACAAAAATAAGTCTATTAAGGAAGACAACTCGTGTATTATAACAAGAAACATTAATGAGAAACTCTGTAATCAATTTTTTCCCCTAGCAGCTCTATCATTACACTGTATTAGATCTGTATGCCTGTGGAATTTATTAAATCTCTCCACATGGTGGGGTCTTTGCCAATTGGATCTGGTTCAGATCCTGCTAAAATGATATTGGCAGCACTCAGCACCTTTAAAGAACAATCAATAAAGTTACATTTGTGCAGCATTGTCTTGACTATAGAATGAATTATGGTCTTACTCTAGAATCTCTTTCAAGCTCAAGTATGATCATCTATGAGTAGACTACTACTCATCTGTACATTTAAATCTATTGTAAAAAGAGAAATATTAGCACTCAAATTTTGGGAGTCAGTCATGCAGGATTAATACCAACACAATGTAATGGGTAAAATTATAATTAGTGCAGCAAATGCAAGCTAGTGAACAACATGAAAATTGCAAAAAATAAATAAAACAGTATACAAATCGAATCATTAGAAGGACATAGTGAGAAAATCCTATTATGAGAGAGATATTGCTTACATGTGAAAAGAAACTGTTTGATAAGCATAGTAAATTTGTACATCATACTTATTAGTAGTTACTTTGTCCCCAAAAACAAAATAATACATACATCCTAGAAAAGAAACCATGTACAATTTCATCATTAGATTTTTTTTTCTTAATCCTCTGTCTTAGAGAAGCTCTCAACTATAAACATGCATCCTAGACATTGAATTAAGTAAAGCACCAAAGGTCTACAAATCAATCATTAGTAGCTAAATAATAATTACCCATTTATACCAGCACTAAAGGAGTGAACATAACACTAAAGGAGTGAACATAAAACTAAAGGAGACAAAACTGTCCTTTTTTGAATCCTTAATTACCATCTCAGCTTAAAATTAAAATGAGGTATTATTTTAAAAATTTCTTAAAATCAGAATGTCAGAGCCGAAAAGGACCTTTGGTTCAATCCCATCACTTTACAAATAAGGAACATGAAATCCAGAGAAGTTGCTGTTGCATCACCCAATTAACCAGCAAAGCCAGCCAAGGCAATAATTCAAGTCTTCTGACGACTTCTATTACGCCATGCTCTTCCACCCAATGCCTGCTTACTTGCACACACACCCCCAAATTGGGTGGCTTTTATTTCCCTTGGGCTCTGTCATTCTACTCATAAGTGAGTCTAGACTTCCATCTCTCTCCTCAACACTTAATTCATGTCTTATTAGCCCAAAATGTATACAGGTCTATCTCATCCTGTTGTCTCCCTTTTGCAAGATACAATGCCTCTCCACTCTTCTGCTAGCAAACTCACAGAACTTACGATCTTCACTCACAGTATTCTATTTTCCTCTTTCATTCACCTACCTCTTAATAATGTGAAATTTAACTTTTCTTGCTCTATTATCTGGGAATCTTGCTGCCTTTCTGAGAAAACAAAGGAGGAGAATCTCCTGTAAATTAGTCTAAATCTGACCAATTTCTTTCTAGTGGCCCATCATAGGAAAATGATACTGCCAAAGGAACAGTATAAAGATTATAAAGGCCTGGGGGGCAGCTAGGTGGCACAATGGATAGAGCACCAGCCCTGAAGTCAGGAGGACCTGAGTTCAAATTTGGCCTCAGACCAAACACTTGACACTTACTAGCTGTGTGACCCTGGGTAAGTCACTTAACCCCAACTGCCTAAAATTTAAAAAAAAAAAAGTTAAAGATTATAAAGGCCTGGGCAAAAAAACAGAACCTCATGAGGTGAATTTTTCATCATTCCTACTGATCAGAGGCATATTTGGGAATAGAACATAAGGTTAAAAAGGTAGTATCTCAGAATGACAATTGGATTTCTGGATCAAGTTTGAAATAAGGAAATTATGGGATCTGGGCAATGGAGTATGCACTAAATGATGGAAAAATATATTCATCTGAAAATTTTCAAATCCAATCAAATGGGTTTAAAAATCATAAGAGGGGGAAAGAAATAGGTGTCAAGATAGCTACAAAGTGTAAAGAAAAACAGTAATAGAGACATTCAGTAATTTACAATAAAACACAAGAAAGGAGTCAACAATGGAACTCAGACTCACAATCATAAAGTATGATCATTAAGCAAAGGAAATGGATAGCAATAGATAGGATACATGACCGCATTATGGCTCTAGATGGATATACTAGCAAGGAAATTTAGTAACCAGAAAGAGCAAGTATTGGGGAGAAAACTTGAATGAAGATAAATGGAACAAATATTAGCTCCAGCTAACACACTCCCTTTTCTTTCTGTTAAGAAACGGCAAACTGTAAAAGCTCAGTTACATATGTTATCAGTCAGAAACACCATATTAGTTTTTACTTAACTGAATTTCTAAGGAAAGGCACCACAAAAGGCTGTTTACTGAGAGATGAGTGTTATATCAAAATTTATCAACAGAAAACAAAGATCAATAAGGGAATGAATAGAAGCAATAACATTACAGCTATGTAGGCAGAAAAAGAAATAGATGACTACTTTGCAAAACAGATCACAAGCGTAGTGAAGAAAAATTATATTGTAATGATGGGGGCAGGGAGGGTGAGAGAGAGAGAGAGAGAGAGAGAGAGAGAGAGAGAGAGAGAGAGAGAGAGAACTCTAACTATCATACAAAAAACATGGGACAGTAGATAAAGCAAAGAGCCTAAAAGGGCAAATCAATATACCTCTTAGAGCCTCAATTTAGATAGATAGATAGATAGATAGATAGATAGATAGATAGACAGACAGACAGATAGACACACATATGAAGGATAATAATTACATATCCATTGTCCAGCTCAAAGAATTGTTTTGAGGAAGGTGCCTCACAAAGTTTAAAGTGCCATACAAATGGGTGCTCTATAGTTTTATGTCCTGACCCATGGGCATCTACCTCCAGTATCTGTGTTCTAACTCTTTATTTACCCACTACAAAGCTATCATATTTGTATCACTGAATACATTTCTGTCAAGACTCTTTGACAAAACAAAAGCATTTAATAATTTTCCATCTTGCTTTGATATTTTTCCTCCTTCAAAAGGAAGCAACAAGGGGAAATAGTTGTATGGACAAGATTCTATCCACAAAAGGTGAAACTGGTTGTTGAAACACACATGATGGAATATGGCCGGGGAAGAGGAAGTTATCATAGAATTCATGATACAAGAGGACAGAAATGTTTCTAGGCATTGTCTGAAATGAAGCCTATATCTCAAGAGATGAAATTCAAAGGGTTCAAGGAAAGGAGAGAGACACAGGTTTTCACCCCTAAAAACTGTTGTGTGACAGTGTGGAATTGTGTAGGGAAAGCGCTAGATCTGGAGTCAGGAGACAACAGGGTCAATACCTGGCTGAGCACTGTGTGACCTGAAGGAGGCCATTTTATCTCTCTGGGCCTCAATTTCCTCATATGAAAAATGAAGTTGTTGGATTCCACAGTGTTCTACTATAGGTCCCTTCTACTATAAATTTACGGTACTAGCAAGTCAGGCTAAGAGGGATATGAAACTCTCAGGAAAGAAATTTTGATGACATAAAGAGAAATAATTCTTATGAGGAAAGGAAGAAAAAGGACAGGACCCAGCCTTGAGGTAGATGGAATGAAAACTGAAGACAACAATAAGGCAAAAGGAAATTTTTTTAAATTTTGTTTCTGTTTTCTGTGTTAGGGAGAATAACTTTGGGACTGGAAAATAGGGAACAAAAAAGGCTACTATGGGTGTTGAAACCCAAAAGAAAGGAATACTCAAAAGGAACCTCGGTGTCTTTGGTGCTCTAATCATGAGACTTCAGTGAATTTCATATGCTACTATTGTAGCCCAATTTGATCTCTCTTTTCTCTAAATTCCTGCTGCATTTGGTTGATACCTGATTTTAGCACTGTACTGTTTCATTATTTGATAACTGTTGCATAAACTTTAGAATTAAATTCTAAGCCAATTGAATGATGGAATTCTGTCTCATATAAAAACACATAAACACACTTAAAGCTTCCTAAATGAACCAAGAGCAAGAAAAATGTCTACTAAATACTATCTCACTGTAAAAACTAAACCAACACATTATTACCAATACTGGACACTGAGTGGGGGTGGGGGGGGAGGGTGGAAGGGACAAGAAGATGGGAGCTGGGGAGAGAATACAATCCCTAAGTTTATGTATAATACGTGCTAATATGTCACCCTGTAACAACTCAAGACTTTTACATATAGACTACATCTACACCAGAGCAGAAAAGAGAAGTTATTTAACAGGTTACAATTCCGAACGGGATTTCTCTGATCCAGATCTGGAAAAGTCATACCACCATTTGTGTTTTTAATCATAAGAGCATAGTTTTAGACAGGAGCAAGTTAAATGCCCCCATTTTACAACTGAGAAAAGAGGCCCACAAAAGAGAAGTGGCTTGCCCAAGGACAAAGAGGATTCAAACAGGTCCTCTACTCAATGGTCTTGATACTACACTAAGCTAAAACAATCCAAACAAGTAGATTACAGCTATTTCTCAGTCACAATAGCACAATTCCGGTCAAGGTGGCCTGGAAGAGAGCACATAATGTAACCGAGATTTATGTGCCATAGATCCCAATGAGTTTGGGGAAAAGCACACTTGGACTCCACACTTGGACTCAAACTTACCCCCATCTTTCCCCACTTCAGGTGCCAACCTCCATACTCGCTGCTGATTGCCAGCTCCTGCTCCTTGCAGCAGCCCAGCATGCTCTCTGCTGGTGCCATCATACCCCACCACCAAAACCCAAAAAGTCTGAAATGGTCCTAGAGGGGTAAGGCAATTCCCGTATTTTGTGTCCTCTGTGCATGTACTTTTTTACTCCTTTAAAACCACATACAATACAGCACATTTCAAAGGGGGCTTTGGGGACAGGTAATATTCCTATTTTATACCCTATGGGATATAAAATACTGATAGCTTTTAAAAACGGGATTCTCCTTACCCCTACAGGCCCTCTCCCGGCTTCAGTAAGGTGATGTGGTGGCTGTGATGCCACCGGTAGAGAGCATGCTGGGGGGTCACACAGAGCAGTAGTTGGAGATCTGCAACAGGCCTGCGAGTTGTGAACCTAAAAAAGAAAAGAGTCTTAAGTTAACAAGCCCAATGCCCCTCTTGTCCTGGTTGTTAGGGGCACTCAGCAGAAAAAATTAGATACTGACAAATTCCTTTAGCAGATCATCTTGGTACCTCATATGTAACTGCTTGTGAAGTTACTATTTGAACCAATACCACAAGTGGCCTTTCTGAATTGATCAAAACTTTGCCTTTCAATCATTTTCTTACACACAAAGATATATCCTTGCCTAGTTCCACATGTTAATGAGCTGTTTGCCAATAGGCGGCATAGCATTTGTCTCTCAAGAATAACCGTGATGAAAATAACCACCTATGATCCTATATAAAAGCAGAGAATCAATGGAAGACCTCAAATACGTTAAATAACAAAGGAACTTTAAGCACACAAACTATGCATACAGACAGAAGCTGTAGAAATGACCAGCACACATAAACTAAGCATTCAGGACAAAACGTAAAGGGAGGTTCTGGAAGGCTGAGAAACAAAACAAGGATTCATACTCGAGAAAATGAGGACACTCCAAAAACAGAGTAGCTTTCACTGGCTTCCATCATTTCTCTACAATTCTAGTTATAGTTTGCATTCATACAATAAGGGTAGACTAACGAGCCAGATTTAGAAATCTGGGCTTTAAACAAACCCAAAAAGAGATTTCTACACCCTGCCCAAAATGCTGACAGGTAAATTTAGCAACCAAAATCCAGATCACAAAAAAGGAATAAAATAAAATTTTATTTTGGGGATATAGCTGAGTTAACCAGATTTATTTTTTAAAGAGTCACACTAAGTGAGGAAAGATAGTTTAAAAACAAGCTGGCCTGTGTCATCTTTACTCCAACAACGAACCTCATAATTCAGAAATGATCCGTGGCATAGAGTTTGAATATGCACTAGCTAAACATTATATCCAAAATGTCTTTTATATATGTAATATGTAAAATGAATAAATAAAACACAACCCAAAAGGTATCTGAAATCAATTTAAAAATTTAGAGGAGTCAAATCATTATGCAACCTGAATTTTTACTTCTAGGCATTCTTCAATCAAGCAAGCAAAAAGCATGCTATTAAGAACATACTAAGGCATGCCCATGCACTGTGCCAAGTAACAAGAATACAAAGAAAGGAAAAACAGTTCCTACTCTGAAGGAGCTCACATTCCAATACAGATACAACAGGTATATAGATACATACATACCAAATAGATACACATATAAAAGATATATTTAGAAGAGCTGAAAGGTTATTTCAGAATGGGAAAGGCTTCCTGTAGAATTCAGCCTTCAAGCGAAGACTTAAAGAAAGCCAGGAAACTGAGAGAAATAGGTAGAGGGACTGAAATAAAATATTTTTAACAATTTTTTTCTAGGTGGAAAAACAGAACCTTGAATACCACTGGGAATCACTTTGGAAAGCAAGTAGAATTAATCTTTTTGAGAATTCATGTTATCGACCACTTAGAATAAAAAAAGGCAGGTCTTAATAAAGAATTAATCTTTTTGAGAATTCATGTTATAGACCACTTAGAATAAAAAAAGGCAGGTCTTAATAAAACAAGCTTACATCAGAGATTTAGAAATAAAAAAGAGAACTTCCTGTTACTCATTCTCTGATGACTTCTAAAACTAGAGTACACTACAAAAAATACTGTATTCAGAGTTATGAAATTCAACAAAAGGAAGATCTTAGCTGTCAAAGAAAGATACAATTATCTTCTGTGCTGCATATTCTATTAATGCAAGGAAGTAAACTACTTTTTAAAAATTATTTAAAACAAAAAGGAATGTCAAGTTAACCTTCAAAAGATTTGATTAAACAGAACACTTCATTCCAGCATTCTGGTTAATTGAGATGAAGTTCATTAGAGGGTTCATTGAAAAAAAGATTTATCTATATTGAAGCACAGATAAGCGGACTAACACAATTCAGCAAAGATTCAACAGCACTGCTGAAATCAGGTCAATAAGTACATCAGCTGCCTTGTCACGCTTGGTTTACAACATCTTTGGGAAAGGTTTATGCTGCAAGACCATGTGCTGAGGCAGAGTATACAGTCCACATCATTTACAGATCACACACAGGAATTCTAAGTTTCTAGTATTTTTGTTAGATACTGTAAGTGATAAAAATAGGTTAATAGTGTAGAAAGGCAGTTTTCAAAAATAATGTGTGTCTTGTTTTTTAAGAAAAAGAACAATTGTTAGAATTTTCTACTCTGCTACAGAAACCAGTTTTGATGTTTTCCAAATGTTAATGAAACAAATAATTAGATTTTTCCCCATGACATTTTAGCCATAATATTTCAAAACAATTATATCATGGGAAAAATAAAATACTCTATATCATAGAAATAGTCAATTATTGTTAATTAATATTAATAATAAAATTAACCCATTTGGTTCTACCAAGATGGGCAGCAATAAGAGGGAGATTGGCTGTCAGGAAGTATAATCTAAGATTAAATTTTTAAAAAAACAGACCAAAGCTATTTAATCCTTTATATTCTGGCATCAATATTTTCTTTTCTCGAGCCATCACTTGATTAACCATTTCCCATTTTCAGGCTACCATCAGCATTCCTCAATAAAGTTCATTTTACACCGAAGAGGAAAAGATATTCATGGAAATATGCCAGCCGCAACTGATTCCTCAAAGGGGAAACAAAGAAAACATAATAATAATGTTCCTCAGTTGACTACTTTTATCACCATCTGGAACTGAAGGATTTCACCTTACTCTTTTTCCATAGACCTAAAGAAATTACAAACAATTCTCATATTTACTGAAAGGGGATAGAATTTAATTCTTACACTACTGACACAGCACTCTAAAATGAGCACAGTACCTTTCTTTAGCATGTGACACTTCGTGGGGGGGCATGGTTCCTAAAAATAAGAGCCTCTAGATACTGCTAGTCAAGGCAAAGTTATTTTAACTGAAGCAAATTAGCAGTGAGTATCATCTCCTCACTCTAAAATGTTACTTTCTACAGAATTTCCCCTGAAGTATAAAAAAATTAAAGGGAAAGTAAATAATAACTACATAAAACAGGGAATATGGGTCAGGCAGCAGGGTTCCAGTCACACCTATGACACACGTTGGTTTGTGTAAACCTGGGCAAGTCCCTTAAACTCTCAATGCTCTAGTTCTCTACATTCTAGGTACAGAGAAGGAGCTGATCTCTTTCAGAAAAGGGAGCAACCTCATCAAGAAGTTCCTGGATCAGTGAAATCACAGGTCAAGTTCCTGGCCAGTTCCTATGTGAATGCAAAACTAGTAACTAATGTTAAAGCCCCCAAAATCGAAAAAGCACACTTAGTGAATCATAAACAAACCATAAATACTCCTGAGTAGACAGGCCTATACAGTACTGACTATTATTTAGGAAAAAGTCCCACAGGAGGAAAGTAAGGAACACTCTGCAGGAATATTATAATCTTTGTATAATTCATTCATTCTTCTAAAGTAAGAAGCTATCAAGATTAATGCAGTTTTACAAATAGATTAATCACCATCCCAAGACATGAAATAGAAATTTTTTCCCAAACTTGTAAGCCCATTCTGTAATACTCATAAGTATACTTAATTCTCAGTTAACCCATATTAATGAGGGTCAGCAGCTCCTTATGACAGACAATGGATAAATTAATTAAAGAGCATTTCATTTAGAGTACAGAATTGGAAATAGAGGGAATTCCAATGGAAATGACCAGAATTCTGATTTACTATTTAAGAATTTTTTTAAATGAAGTTATTTTGAGATACAAAGCATGAACTAGGAGCACAAAAAAACCACATTAAGAAAAATGTGGTATCTAGCTACAATCAATAGATTAAAGCATATTACCAACAATTTATATGCAAGAAGTAGAGTAAAAAGATATATATAACCAGAAAAGGAGGTAGGCCAATCATTATGCATAACTGAAATATAAAATACAGACAGCCCCCATTCTTTACTAATACTCACATAATAATTTAGCATTTTAGAGAAAGGACTCCTATGTAGGATCTATAAGACGTCATGGACAAGTGTCCTATGGGAAGAGAAAGATGAGTCACAACGAAGGCCTGTGGATGAAGGATAAATGAGAGTAAAGAGGCAAAGACAACACCAAGGTTGCAAACCTGGGTAATAGGAAAGATGTTATTTCCCTTGGCAGAAATAGGGAAGTTTGGAACAAGGGTACAGACATAAGAATAATGAATTGTTTTAAATATGTTGAATTCAAAATGCCTACAAGATATCCAGTTCAAAATGTCCAATAAGCAAATGTCAGACTAGTAGAGAGGAAAGAAGAGGATTAGATATATAGAGTGGAGTCAGTCATCTGCATAGAGGTAATAACTGAAAACTGAAGAACTGATGAGATCACCAACAGAGAGAGAGAGAGAGAGAGAGAGAGAGAGAGAGAGAGAGAGAGAGAGAGAGAGAGAAGAGAAGAAAGCCTAGGACAGAATCTTAATAGAACTCACAGTTAGTGGACTTTACATGAATGAGATCCAACAAAGAGCATGAGAAGGATCCATAAGACTGGTAGGAGAACCAAGAGACAACATTGTCACAAAAATCCAGACAGGAAAGAATATCGGGGGTGGGGGGGAGAGAATGTCAAATGCTGTAAAGAAATCTAGAAGGATGAAGACTGAGAAAAGGCCTTTAAGTTTTATAATCAGAGCATCACAAGACTGTAAAAAGGCAATCAGATTTGACAAATATGCTAACTTTGAAGAAGGAAGTATCATTTAAAAGATGAAGTCAGAAAACAAATTGGAGAAAGTGAAAAGAGAGGAAATAGAGGTACAAAAAAAGAAGAATTTTTTTTCAAGGAGTTCATCTAAGATGGGGAGAGTAGATAACAGAAAGAGAGATAATAGAGATCAATCAATAAACAAACACTTATTAAGAGCCTATTATGCGGTGGGTACTGTGCTAAGTGCTAGTAAGGTTTTTTTGTTTTTGTTTTGTTTTTAAGGACAGGGGAGAGAAC